CAAGAATGTCATTACCATTCTCCATAGCCTCACTAGCATTTTATCCTTTTCCCACAGAAGCCAGAGTGAAATAAATCACAATGAAGACAGCAGAGGACAGCTCTGTTCTCATTTGCTCTGCACAGTAATAGTAATTTACAGCACTGGCAACTTATAATAGTGATATTTTAACAAATTCATATGGTCTGTATCACTTTTTTTTTTTTTTTCCTAGAAAAGTCCACCAAAGTGCTGGTGCCTAGCAGTGACCATTAATTGCCCTTATGTATGAAAAAAGCAATGGCCTGAGTAATAAGGCAACTTATCTCTGCTATTTCCAAGTCTGAGCAGAAACCAGATCTTTGCCATAGAGTAATCTAAAACCTCTCTGGTGGTCACATTCAGCCTAGACTTGGATATACATAATGAATTAAACTGAGCAGGCAGACGAGCAAGCTGGAATGATATGAGGAATGTCGTTACTGTTGGACTAATATGCAAAGAGATTCCAACCCCTGATCCCATATGGCAGCTAAGCTCAGTTAGTATTCTATTATAAATCCACAAAGCTTAACTAAGCTTATTTTGGGATGTCATGAGATCTCCCCATCAATAATTTAACCTTAATGGTCACCATCGAAATTCTAAAATGTGATAAAGGTATGGTTTACCTGCTTTATTATAAAGTAACAAAATGAATTAATCTGACCAACCTCTCTTCCATTCACAATAAATTAATTAATGGTATATTAAAAAACACCATTAGATACATGGTTAAAGGATGAGTACAGTAGAAAGATCTGAATGTCCAGTTTATACATTAAAAAACACAAATACGTAGGTTTAGGAGGATTGAAGCAATGAAATAGAAATAGTAAGTTGACAGGTAAAAGACTCTATAAATCAAATTAATTAACCAAAAGGTTATAATTGTATTTTCTTATTCCAAAAGTAGCACAGTGATATTTATAACCTTATTAATAATAAACAGTTTTTTTTTAATCGCCATTGTAATCTTTAAATCATGATTACTAATAAATGTTTTGCAAGTATCCACTGTTAATTTTCGCCGTGTGTTTTTAGCAGGGAGCTCTGAGACTTTAAGATCTGAAAGCCTCATGCTACTATTTAGCATGACTACTATTTAAATTGTGTGAAATGCATTCACACAATTTAAGTGTCCTTCATGCACAGTACAAGGTGTAATGATATCACAAAGCTTAAGGAAGTAAACATGGATGGTAGGGTTTGAGCACATCTTGCATCTTTAATTTTTTTCCCAACCTGAGCCAATGCATTAACAACACAGTCTTTTCAAGATGGTTGGAAATAAAGCCTGCTCTCTGCATTATCTTTCGTCATGGTTGTTGTTTTTTTGCCGCTTCTGTGTAGCAAGACACTGAAAAGTGACCTTCATTGAGTATTAATGCCGTTCAGGTTGGATGAATGCGACCTGGCTGTTCAGACACAGACGGCATTTGCAAGGATCAGATACTTATCAGACTCATGACCACATAGCCAAGTGGCCTGGATTGCATTGGGAAAATTTTGATTTGTGATGTTCACACTGTCATGAAAAGATCAGATACAGGTCGTATAAGGGCAAAAAAATCAGACCTGGGTCACTTCATCCTGCTTTGTCAACATAGCCAAAGAGACTCAATTCAGGAATCTGGTCTTAACAGTTACAGTATCATAGTGTTTACTAAAGCCTACAACAGTTATAGTCCTGTCTTACATTTGAGATGCATTGACCCAAAAGTTCTATATAAAAAAAAAATCTTCATTTTATGGCCTCTTTTTAAAAAACGTACATTATGAACGGTATAGTTGAATAGAATAGTATGATTGCAATGTTTTTTTGTGTGCAATGTTTGAACCACTGTAAAGAGAAACAAAAGCTACATTTACACATTCCAATTTAACTACATAATTCAAAATGAAAGTTAACTCAGAAAGGTTAAGATCAACGTTTTTACGGTATGGCATCACTTTAGAAATTATGAAAAATAAAGGGCTTGTAAATGTTGCTTCCCTCATCTTTATTTTTTACTCCAAAAAATCAAGGTGATTTAATGGCTTTACTATTCATCCCAAGCTGGAAAGAATGGAATCAAGTAAAGGAAAAAAACACTTAAATAATCATACTTTCTTAAGAATAAAGAAATAAAAATCAAACGTGTAAATAGCTTTGGTGTTGAATCTTTCTGAACAAATAGAAAGCAACTGTCTCAGTCATTCTAAACAATATCACAACATAGGGAGATGAACAAGGACTGCAGGAATCTGAAGACATTGATATGTATTTATCAGGAATAAACAGTAAAAAATATATAGAAAATAAGAATGGTGTTATGCATCATTGCTGCCACAATTTAATATACTTGGCTGTAGCATTTTATGTCCTGTTTATGACTGTTTTTCTATCAGAGAAGATGAACAGGGCTGCCTTAAACTCAACAGTTTCGTGTTGAGTTGAAAATCAGCATGAGGTTAAATGCAGCATTCTTCACTGGCTGTACAAGAGGCCAAAGCAAGTAAGAAGATAGTTACGGCTCTATGCCAAACAATTAACTGGTGATTCGGCACAGCAGAAACATCTTTCTAGGTGTCCCACTTTGTTCTACATGTGAATCTCTTGTTTTTCAACGCCTCCCATTTCTCCTGATAGCCTTCCAGGCATTGCATTAGTTATGCCAATAAAGCTTTTTACTTGGCTGTGGGAGATGGAGATGAAGAGTCCCCACACTTTGCTCTGTCAGCTGTGACATTGGCCACATTCATTTTGGGATAATTATTACTAAACAAAATGAGTTAACTCTGTAATAATAATTGTAACCCGAGATAAATAAAGTTCCATTTATGTTGCTTTTCAAGCTCTCATAAAAAAAACATCAAGATTATAAGATTTGTTTGGATGAACTATAAAAGCAGTATCTGCAAATCTTATCCACTATATGCTTAATTTAACCTGTACTACTTTATTGGCTGGAAAAGTTGAGGATAGTTTGATAATGTGCTAAACTTTCTCCACTCTTCCTCAGTGGACTGGTGGTATTTGACACATTTTGATAGGTGTAAATGTGACTTAACAGAGATCACATGGGGTTTATAATGGCTGCATTCTTGGGCTTTTTTTTTCAATGACAATTCCATAAATATCTCTATGCATCCTGATAGTTCTGATGAAAATTATTAGAACATACCCTTCCGGGTTTTCTGCAGCTCTTCTCTGAGCCCCTGGTATTTCTTTCTTTTTTCCTGATATTGCAGCCACTTGGGATTGCTATGTATACCACAACGGCTTTCTTCTGCTTTTTGTCTACCACCACCACTGTTACTACCTAAGTAACCTAAACCTGGGAGGCTATATGCTAATGATGTGGGGGAAATATATATATATATATATATATATATATATATATATATATATATATATATATATATATATATATATATATATATATATATACATATGTGATTTTCCAGGTCACTATGCTTGGCACATATGAATGCTCTATATGAACTGCCCACTCAAAATCTCACCTGTAGAATTTGAGAGGGTCGAATCTGTCACTGAATGGGTCATGTGACCTTCATATCATATTAAATAGGGTGTCTCCAACAGTTTTGCGCCTGCCAACAGTTACGCAATCACTTTTGTTAAATCACCCGCAAACCATGGTTCAGCCCCTCGCGCAAAATTCCAGTTTGCGAGCGAATATTACTGCACCAAAATTGGATCTTGATAAATCCGGCCCTTAGTTTTCTAAATTTGAAATCTTGGAAACTCTGGGTTTTCTGTTTCACAGAGAAAGAAACAATAAAGTCGACTCAATCTCTGTTTCTGTGCTTCTGTTACCATAGTAACATTCTTTCTCACCAATTATTTCATCAGTTAATTTTAATCTTAATATATTTTCTGTGATTCTTACTATTATTTTTAAAAGTCATTGTCTGTACCTCTATTCCTCTGTTTGCTTGTTATACACTCTCAATCATCGTGTCAATGAATAGAGTGATGAAATTGCCAAGATACATAAAATCATCTGTTTAGAGGAGGAATAGGATTTGTTCTTTGATTTGTACTTTAATTTAGAGCCAGAGGGCAAAGCCAGCCCATTCACACAAGAGCGTATGTTTAAGATTCAGTTAACTTTCATTTAATTGTATTTGGAAGCAATTCTATCTAATAAAACACCTTAGACCTCATTATTAAATCCAATCACTTGTGAGGGAGGAAAGTATTTCCTCAGACCAGACTGTGACTCTCATTCACCTGGTTTCCTGGCATCTTCCTTTCCCCATCAATTGTTATTCAGAAGGAAAGTTCGTCTTCAATCACCGAACCAATGATATTGTATTAGCAGCTACAGCAGAAATGAAATGGGTAATATGCTGTGAGAAACACTGATAGATGAGCACCCCGACCCTTACAAGACCAGTCTTCTGTTACACTCCCTTTCACCCCAATTCTAATTTATCAAATCCAGACTTTTGTCACCTTTAAATTGGATTTGGCTGCTGAGAGCGTGTTATGTTTTATCCTAGCAGAGGCCATGTTTCATGAGGTTGCAACACTCTGCTTCCAAATCAGAGTGATATCAAAACAACAATACAAATTTAGGGCAGCGTAGACACTAATTAAGACCAATCATCTCAACATCCACAGGCACTGCAATGTTGTAAACAGCACAGTGAGAGTTGCGTGATTACAAAAGAGCAATACAAAAACAGTCATTCCCTACTTAGTCTGTGCCCTGGGACATCAAAAAAAAAAAATCATTAAAAGTTTCTTCAGCAGTAGGATTAATGAATTCACTTCCCTTTTATCATGTCTCTGTTGTGTATTCAGTCAAACTGTGTGCTCAGAGGCAGTAAAGACGAGACATGTTCCGACATCCAACTTTAAGGAATACATTTGAAAAGACACTGATGTAATTTCATCTGGATCCGACAAATTTATCACATCTTAACATTTTATCTTTTAACCTTTTCTGTGGATTGGAAATATCACTCACCTTTCTTGTCCCCAAAAAACAGAGTTTGTTGTGCAGGGTTTGACCACTGGAGGGAAGTGTTATCATTGTAATCCACACGACAGGTCATGTTGGCTGTGCCCCCCTCCACCACCGTCACATTCTGAGTGATGGGGAACTGACCTTGGCTACCTGTAGGATTATAAAACAGAGCTCGAGATCACTTTGCCTTTTAGTATCTTTTCCAGGTTTTATTTTATCACTCAAATTGAACATCAAAGTTTACATTCTCATTATACTTCCCAGTTAAACTTCTCAAAGAGCCTGAAACAGCTTTTGCAGCTAAAGGACTAATGTTACGTATTCTAGTGACAACAGTAGTAGGTGTAGTCACCAAGGCTGCCTTCTGTGTTGCCTTATTGAGAGGACCTAATTGGTAGCATGCCCTAATTAGAGGTAGTCATGTTCTGCTGCAAAGTGTGGAACTGCAGCTGGGTGGTAAATTGACACATAATCCCAGACACTGTGGGCCTTCGATCTGAGCAGCTACCGTGCTACAGAGCAACCGCTTGTTGCAGTGTGCCGAATACATCCAAATGAGACCTAATCATCCAGCCTTGTTTGATTTGCCTTCTTATTCCACATTTGTACGTGTCGTCTCAAGCAAAGTCTCCCTAATTGCATTTCAGAAGTATTTTATCCTGGTTGCATTTTATTGAACTCTTAAGAGCCTCAGAAACCGGTCTTAAAATCATACTCTTGTGAAGGCTGTTGTGATAAAAGAAAAACAAACAAAACAAATCCAACCTTTTAAAAATGTCAGTGAACAACAGTTGCATTATAGCTCTCCAATATATGTTGAGCTCTTAAACTCCAGTTGTAGACTGACAAGATAAAGGATCTACACATTTTTCTGAATTTCACAGTTTTTCATTTCATATGTCCCTGGATTTGAAGGTGACATTGTCTGTGCCTTTCCAAGTAAAAGCTACTGCAGGGATGTTTTAGCTTTGGGAGCAGCTGTCTGCCTCATTAGCCCCCCTCACAAATAGGTGCAGAGAATGATGGTAGAGCCAAAGATCTTTAGACCTTCCTTGACCTAGATTGCAGTGATAAGGCCCACCGTCTTTGGGAGGTGAGGGGAAGTTTGACCCTATAGAGTCATTGAGAATCAGACCTGTTCACATTCTTATAGACCTATCTATTATTTATGGTGTCAGGTATACATATAATTAACTTATCCCTATGAAAAAAATCTGACATTTTGAACAGTTTTTAAAATGGATAAAAAATATATATATTGTGTAAATCCTATCAAACCTGTAAAGTTATTCTTGAATTGTTGTTTGTAAATAATTAGGCTACTCTAATACATTCTAATTGCACAAATGCATCAGCACGTAGATCACAGAGGTCATAAATACACCTTTTTCTTAAAATCTACTGTTCCAGTGACCTGATCAACCTTTGATGTCATATTGATTTAAGTGCTATTTAGTGGAAAACTTGTCTTCTATGCTGGATCAGTATTCAGAACACCTGCAATAACTATGAAAATCCCCAAATGACCAAAATTTTATTCAATTTTCCATACTTTTTCCAAAATGTTCCAAAATATTTTTCAAAATATAAGCTTTGACATTTTATATTTTGTCAAATTGGACACACAAACTACTTAAAAGTATTTAATTGAGATTAATAACTGTTTAGCGGCAGGGATATATAAAAAAAATTGTTACCTACTTTAAAAAAAAAGAAATCTGCAAAATCTGGAATATTCAGCTTCCTTAACTTTGGTACAGTGAAAAAAAATCAGTTCACTTTATTTTGCTACTAATTAACTAAATCCAGATTCTAAATAGAGCCCACTTGTTTGTATCTTTTTAACAAGCTTATGAAGTGTTTACAATGAAGAAGTAATATCAAGAAAGCTTGAGAACATGTCAGACATGTTCGGGACGAGTTTATAGGCACATTATGTTAAATATATATCTTCAGCATTGCTTGCTCAAAGCACCTTTCAATTGTTCAGTCATAAAAGGAAAAAAAAGTGTGGCACAACCGTAAAGGTGACCAGACAAAGAGAGGCTTTATTAATGAAGCAGCCAAGATGGTAACCCTAGGGGACCTGAATAGATCTGGAGGAACGTTACTGCTTCTCTAGAGGTAGCGACTATTAAAATAACTTTTAGTGGTGCACTCCACAGACCAGACAATCTTAAAAAGTGGCAAGAAGAAAAAAGATGCTTTAAACTTGTCAGAAGTCATGTTTAAAACATGGTTAAACAGGTGGTCTGACCAGGCGAGAGACTAAACTGAATTATTTTGTTATTCAATATACCATGTGTGGCTTAAAACTACACATCACCCTGAAGACACAGTCCCCACTATGAAAAATGGGGTCAGTATCATGTTGGTGGGAGGAAGGGCTGTGTTAAATACATGACATTCCCAGAAGAACATGTTCTGGTCAGCAGTCCCCACGATGAAGCGGTTAAAATGTTTATTTGTAATGGGAGCGTCCAATTTAGGTTACGTTAGGAGGAGAATATAATACAATTTACTTTGTAATCTGTTGGTAGGTGGTAGTCAATAATACGTGGTAACCTAATGATAATTAACCACCAAAATTCTCAATTATGACATTTTAACATTAAATTATAATGGTTATTGACAGATAATTACTTTGAAATTATATACCTTAATTTTGAGGTAATGACGTTTTTCTTGTTACCTAGTAATATAGTGTAACTTGCTGTTTAATTACCATTTAATTACATAGTTATTTATGTACTTGAAAAGAAAGCGTTACCAAAAATTGGAATTACGGTCTGTGAGCAAGCCATAATGATGTGCCAGGAGTTTCTCAACACTAAAGAATTCACATTGTGGGAAAACGTTTAAATTCCAACAGAAAGCAAACCTATTTTTTTTTTATTAAATATGCACAAATATGGAATATAATAGAAGAGAATGTAAAAGTTGAAGTCTACAACAGTGGCTGTGTCTGAAAGTCTGCCCTATCCCCTAAATCCCTCAATCACTATATAAAGTGGGGACTATATGGTGGATTTTATAGTTACCCAGCTAACTGAACGTTCTGACAGATTATCACAACTTTTTGTTTCTCGTTGGTCACGTCACTCTGCCTCCCCCCACGGTGCCTGTGCCATCTCTTTTGTTTGTTGCTGCTGTCAGGTAGCGACAGCAGGCTGCTGTGACAACAAATCCCATGATGCTTTGTGAGGAGAGCTCTCCTCGCAGAGCATTCCAGGATATATCTGCTCATCTAGTGACCATGGATGATTGATACTTTTTAAGGTGCAATATAGGTGCCCTAGATCAGCGGTCCCCGACCTTTGTTGCACCACGGACTGCTATATGTCAGACAATATTTTCACGGACTGACCGGCGGGGGTGGGGTTATACGATCAAGTAAAATGATACGACTGTCGTAAAATCAAATACAAACAGCATAAAAATAAAACAACAAGCCGGTCCCATCTAGGCGTAATCGGAGAAAATGACAGATGAAGTGTGCTCCTGATGTCGAGTCTGTTCCGTAGCTTTGTTTTGGTCGCTGCAACCGCAGAAAATCCTGCTTCACAAAGATAGGATGTTATATATAGGATGAGTCTTAGCCTGTGTCAAGAGGCACAGATGCACCGACTGATGTAATTGGGAGAGAATACCGCAATTTTTTATATTTTTCAAAATAAAACATCACTCAGACTCTGATCGTCAATAAATTATATATATATCTATATATATATATATAGATATATATATATATTTTTTTTTTCTGTGCGGCCCGGTATCAAATGACCCACGGACCGGTATCGCTCAGCGGCCCGGTGGTTGGGGACCGCTGCCCTAGATTATACTGGTTAGGGTGGACATTAAGACACAGCCTATATCTAATTCAGAGAGACCAAAAAGAAATTAGGAGATGCTCCAAATATAGTATGACACAATTTGGGAAACAGTTGTCTGTAATTACATTTATAAAAACTCACAGAGACAAAGCCCATAAGACCTAAAGGTTTAAATGAAGCTAAATTTGGTTTTATTGAATAAATGCAATATGTTAAATTGATACTAAGAGGAAGCCCTTTTTTCTTTAATGCCCTTTAAGTTTTACACAATCATGTACTTGCTGTCAGTGAGTAATATAAGAGACCATCAGGTATTATATTTTGCACACTATTGTCTTATGCTCTTTTAGTTTGGTCTGTATACAGTGAAAATTATAGATACAGGCTCACACATTTTAATCAAAGATTTAGTCTGTCATGGGTCATGGACACATTGATGCTTGCATGCTGTTGGCTGCTAAAGCTATTTTCTAAACTGTTCAAATGCCTTTAAAGACCCATCATCACCCCTCCTGCCTACACGGACAGGTGACAAATTAAAGGAAAAAAAAAAAAGATCCATGCAATGAAAGTATCCAGTGCTTCTTCACTATAGCATGGTTTGGGTTCATTTCTGCTCGGAGAAGCTAGGGTCAGGGCAAATCGATACCATTTTTTCCTGTGGTCACCTTTACTCTGCAATGAAACATCACTATCCTGATGGGAGTGGTGTCTTCCAGGATGAAAATGCCCCTATCCATTGGGTCACTGAATGATTTGATGAGTGTGAAAAAAAGGTGAATCATACATTTTCAGTCTATGCTTTCTCCAACCTTGAACAAAGTTGTACACATATGGGGAAATTCAGATTGATTTGTCACAATTTGGACAAATGTGTCTCATCTACAATTACTAAGACAATTAATAAGGGAGAATTGCTATAAGATTAATTTCCTGCTTCTTGAGGGTTGGAAATAGGTGGACAGAAACCGATTTGCTGGTAACCAAAAAGTTCACAGATTTTAATGATTTTAATGAGAAATAACTATTAATGTATTTCATCCAGAATATTTTGGTAATACACTTTCCTCCTCAGTACGGTTGATTAAACGAAGGACATGAGTTATTGCCTAAATGTATATGTGCATATATACCCTATGATATAAATCTTGTTCAGCAGTGAAACATATTTGCAATACATGAGAGATATAAAAAGACATGTAATCTGTAGAATCATAAGTCTTGAAGAATATAAGTTGTTTTATGCAAAATGGAGCAATCTAGATGACATTTTAGCACTGCCACAATTTTAAAAATGTTTTCAAGCTTCAAAGCTTC